GGACGGTATGAACTTGAACTAGTTATCAGAGAGATTAAGTGGCCCTGAAGTGTGACATGAAACAGACGTTACTCAGCCAACACTTTGGAAAGTGTGTTTAGTCACTGTCTGTGTTTTGACGAGACGTTCACAAGGCCCCTGAGGAAGATAAATAACACATGATATGACTAAACACTGGAGATTAAAGTGTTTAGAGATGTCATGATGACAACAGATGGAAAGAGCCTTGCTGTTGGTTAAGAAAATTAAATCTGCAGCAAAAAGAATCTATATGCAGCTGTAAATAATATTAAACTGACTGTGCAATATGACAACATATATCATATCGGATTCTCGTATTTCATGGTGTCACAAAATGCATATACTTCATAATTTATATATTTAAAAAAACTCACATAGGTTATGAACCACGTGAGCGTAAATAAATGGTGTGTAAATCTTCAGTTTTTGAGTGAACTATCCCCTTACCCTCTGGAATGAGTGGAAAAAACTGTGAGCTTTATGTTCAAGCTCCTTAATGCATGACAAGATGAGTGTGTGAAACGGGGAGAGCGCCTGTGTTATATCATTTAATGCTGCTTTACAGGGGCGCCTCCAAGGGGTGGCCAGGGGTGGCCACGGCCACCCCTCGGTAAACTCTGGCCACCCCTTTGGCCACCCCAATATAATTTTGCGGTCGACATTATTGATTTAAATGAACTTATAAATTCCCAATATTTAGATAAATAAATAATTAAATAAATAAATAAAAATGCAGTCACTTAATTATTGTCGGTGTTACTGACGTAGCTCTCCCCCTCTTGTTCAATGCTGGTGAAAGCAAACTGACGCATGCGCGCGGAAAACCATTCCCGCGCGCCTCACGCACTCCTGTGTGAATCCCGGTTGGTTGTTTGCATGCACGCCGACATAATAGGCACCGCTCATGCGCCGTGAAACCGGAGTAACAGCCTTTTGTGCAGAGGTGTCGGCACGCAGCGAGTTTTGAAAGTCGACTAAAGTTTATATAATATGATGATGATGATGTTACTTTCACTAAGCATGCCTTTAAAGCAGAAAGGAGGGATAATGAGTCAGGGAGGTAAGACTTCATAACATGATTTCTCAGCCATGATCTGGTCTAAGACCACAGATAATTCTATAATACATTTTTTGTATTCTTTAGAATTGTCATAATTAATTTTCATGCAAAAGGTTTCTTAAGTGATCTTGGCATATCACTCCAGTTGTTGTTTTCCAGTAATATTTAGGACTGATTTCTGTTATTTATTTAGAATAATAATTGTATATTAATATTAAGTGTATTTATTTAGAATAAATATAAATCAATTGTTATATTTATTGAATAACAAATCTAACAATTCAAGAAAGGTGGGGTGTATAGGGTGTTTCGCCCAGGGTGTCATTAAAACTAGAACCACCACCACCTTCCCCGATCGTCCTTGACAGCACGCACACACCTTCAATAGACAGCAATGGCTATTTAATATTTACCTTAAGCTACAGTATCAAAAGAAGAAGCTGCATTAATAAAATGGTTCAAAAAGCAATATGGATAAATAATATTATTAGGTATAGTGAGTGTGTATATAGTAATGCCTTTTGTTTAGTTTGTTCATTTGTTTGGGTAATTAATAAACTCATTATTCTTTCATTCATTTTCTTTTCGGCTTAGTCCCTTTATTAATCCAGGGTCACCACAGCAGAATGAACCGCCAACTTATCTAGCACATTTTTACACAGCGGATGCCCTTCCAGCTGCAACCCATCACTGGGAATAATAAACTCATTAATCTTCATTAATTTTAGACATGGCATATCTCGTATGATGTACAATAAAGGCACGTAAAAAAAGAAGTTATTTATACAGTATATGAAAAGTGTTTTTAAACTAAACATAGATTTTTATTTGGTTTGCACATGTACTTGCTGAATTATTTCAAAGAATAAATTGCAATATTTCAAGTAGAATTAATTAAATGAATAAAAACTACATTATTTTATTTACCAGAAACAAAAATATAACATTACTCTGAATTCATTATTTTTTTTTTGTGTGCCACCCCAAGATTTGGTGGGGCCTTTTCTGGCCACCCCTAAGAAAATTTTCTGGGGGCGCCACTGCTGCTTTATCAGACATCTCTGGCTTGTTTGTGGTCTGTAATTACTGCTGAGTGGCCATTAAATGCAGAGACAGGCTTTTCGCAATCCATCTCAAGCAGATGGTGGAGTTTCCCAGAATAGACAGCAGACGCAGGTCATTCCGGGTCAAACATATGAGGTTAGAAAGCGTGCAGAATAAATCTCTGATGAGAAACAATAAATAAATAAATAAAAACAACCATAGAATAAAAAGCATAGAAAGTGATGTGTCATGCTGGAAATTCTGGGAAAGTAATTGCAGTTTTATTATTATTATTATTATTATAACATTTTTAAAAGTACAAAAACATGCCAGGGGGTAAGTATAAATCAAACACAAATATACAGAATGTATTTAATCAAAAAAATACATTATAGAATTCACAAAGTTTTAAAGTGCGTATGGCTTTCTTATTTTAGAAAGTCTCTGATACTACTAATAAATAAGCATAATAATTCCTTAAAATTAAAATTATGTTTCTTATTGGAACTGCAGAGTTACTGTATTTGCTTTACTGTTTACTATACTGTAAGCAATATCACCCTAGTAGCGGTGTGATACGGCTGTATTTCAGCACTGGTAGGAGGTGTGCGTTGGCTGTCCCGTGCACCAGATATGAGTGATTTTGCGATAATACAACAGTTCGATGCCATAATCTTGTGTATAAATAAGAAAATCAAACACGGAGAGTCTCAAACCATTTTGTTTGAAGAACTACTTTCTTCCGCCACTTACATGCTGACGGTCAGAAGAGCAGAAACCGTTGCTCATTCATTCCCCAACGTCACTTTAGTCTAGCATAATGTCCAAAATGATGACAAAGCAGGTGATTTTGCTCACATTTTAGGATTATAAGATTAGATTTTAAGATTACAAGATGACCAGCTAAAACCAGCTTGACCAGCCTAGCCAGGTTGGGAGCACAGCCAAAACCAGCTATGTCCAGATTAAACCAGGCTGGTCAAGCTGGATTTAGGTGGTCAATTTCCAGCCTGACCAGTTAAGACCAGCCAAACCCCCTCTAAAACCAGCCAGGCGGCAGGCCAACCAGCCTAGGGTGGTCTAAGTTGCTTTTTTCAGCAGGAATGACACCAGTCTGCAGAGAATTCCCAGTAGCCTATTTCTCTGTTGCAATCAGGACAATAAATATCCCCAAAAAGCCAAAGCAAACATTACTATAGTTTAAATACAACACTACAAAATACAAACGAGAGAGATCAACTCAGAATGTCACTAACCTGTGTTGTATTGATTTGTTCAGCGGTAGTTTGAAATTTACGCCCTCAGGATTTATTATGCGGCCTCTGTCGCCATCTTGGGGCAGTCACCGGTTAATTTCAGGCCAATGGCCGCCGACGTGGTGAATCGCCAAAGTTAAAAAATTTTGAGAAAGGCACTATACTTATAAATAAACCGCACACTTGCAATCTAAACTACATTCTCGCCTGAAAAAAACCCTCAAAAATACATATATCTGTCAAACTGTAGTGAGTTTATCCCTCTGCTTGTCATGTGGGTGGAGTAACACGTAAGGGGGTGAAGAGACTCTATGAGCGTTGATTACTCACGGCTATTAGCCAATCACATTCGAGAAGCAGACAGAACTGTTGTATAAAATAATTATATTAAAATATAATTATTGTACACAGGTCCAGATGAAAAGAACAAAACATCTTTGAAAATGTTTTATTATTAAGTTCACAAATGTATTATAACTTTAATCATCATAGAATTTATTTTATAGGTCAAAAATAGAATAAATGCATATAAATGAGCTTGCTGGTTGTGTCCAAAACGAACAAAAAGCAGTATATTGTATGTGTGTGTAACTTTAGGTGCATAAACATTTTAAGAATATTCATTTTTTACACTTATGTACAGTATGAACAACATGTGCATAAAAAAGCAGGACGGAGAGATTTACATGCAAGACAGCATCAGTTATTTAAAACAATGAAGTCATGTGTGCTGTTGATAAAATAAGGAAATAAATGGCATGATCAACAGTAAACGAGTACACTTATTGAGCTGTATAAGTCGTGCATAAATTCTAGTCAGATTAGTTGTGTATACAGATATTCTGATGCACTTCCTGACAGCTTACTTAATGTATTTCTTTTTTAATAAATGACAGAATATTTACATAATGAAGAGCCTAATTGTCCAGATTTATATTTCCATCCCAATGCTTCATCAAAAAGTGCAGCTCATCCTTTTTCATTTCAGTTTTGTCCTCCATTTCTGTCGCCTGATGTGGTTTGTGTGTTCCTCAATGCTGTTTTCTGATGATTCCTCAGGGAATTCACTGTTAAATGTCTGTTAAACATGTAAATATGAGTGTATCTGATGATCTAGTGATGTCCGTTCACATATTAGACATTGTACAGATCAAACAGGGGATAATTGTTCACTCACATATGATGATACGAATGAATAAACAATGAAACTCATAATTAAAGTCATTAAATTCTTAAATAAAGTGCATCCATCTCCATTTCTATATAAAATACATACATTGACAGATAGATTAGCTTCTCTTTCTTTACACACACCAATCAGCAGTTTGATTCATGCATTCATTTTCTTTCAGCTTAGTCTCTTTATTAATCCAGGGTGGCCACAATGGAATGAACCGCCGACTTATCCAGCATGTTTTTTCGCAGTGGATGGCCTTACAGCTGCAACCCATCCCTGGGAAATGATTAACTCATTCATTCATTCACTTTCCTTCGGCTTAGTTCCTTATTAATCAGAGGTCGTCACAGCGGAATGAACCGCCAATTATTCCAGCATATGTTCTACACAGCGGATGCCCTTCCAGCTGCAACCCAGAACTGGGAAACCCTCATAAACACTCATTCACACACACACAAATACACTTCGGCCAATTTAGTTTGTTCAATTCACCTACAGCGCATGTGTTTGGACTGATGTGTTGATATTTTCTGGATGTCAGTGATGTCCACTACTGAATGTCGAGTTTCTGTTGAGGTCCTCGAAAACTCGAATTCTTCACAGACGTTCATTCAGACATCCTTTAGTAGTAGGCTGCTGTGTGCTTCTTTCAATCTGAAAGACAAGAGGAGATGTGTTAAAGGTTGCAGGTTTTCAACATTCTTCAAAATATCTTCATTTGTGTTCAACAGAAGAAACAGGCTTTACTCCAAAAAAAAAAAAAATAGCAAAAAAATGCTGGATTGTTTTAACTCAAAGTTGGGGAAATATGGACAAAACCCAACCACTGGGTTAAAAAGTGTAACTTCAATTTAAAGGGATAGTTCAACCAAAATGAAAATGTACTCACTATAGACTGAAGTGCTTCCAAACATGCATTAATTTGTTAATTAATTAATTTATTTGTTTATTTAACACAAAACAAGATATTTTGAGTACAGCTGTAAACCTGTAACCATTGACTTTAATAGTATGAAAGACAAATACTATGGAAGGCAATGGTTACAGGTTTTTAGCAATGCCGATAACCTGTAACCATTGATTTTAATAGTAGGAAAGACAAATAGTATGGAAGTCAATGGTTACAGGTTTTTAGCAATGCAGGGAACCTGTAACCATTGACTTCAATAGTATGAAAGACAAATAGTATGGAAGGCAATGGTTACAGGTTTTTAGCAATGCAGGGAACCTGTAACCATTGACTTCAATAGTTTGAAAGACAAATACTATGGAAGGCAATGGTTACAGGTTTTTTAGCAATGCCGATAACCTGTAACCATTGACTTTAATAGTAGGAAAGACAAATACTATGGAAGGCAATGGTTACAGGTTTTTAGCAATGCCGATAACCTGTAACCATTGACTTTAATAGTAGGAAAGACAAATACAATGGAAGGCAATGGTTACAGGTTTTTAACATTCTACAAAATATCTTCTTTTGTGTTCAACGGAAGAAACAGGCTTCACTTAAAAAAAAAAAAGAGCTGGGTTATTTTAACTCAAAGTTGGGTCAAATAAAGACAAAACCCAACCACTGGGTTAAAAAGTGTAACTTCAATTTAAAGGATAGTTCAACCAAAAATCAAATTGTACTCACTATAGACTCAGGTTTCCAAACATTTATTTATTTGTTTGTTTATTTAACACAAGAAAAGATATTTTGAGTACAGCTGTAAACCTGTAACCATTGACTTCAATAGTAGGAAAGACAAATACTATGGAAGTCAATGGTTACAGGTTTTCAGCTAAATTTATATGTTGTGTTAAATGAATGAATAAATAAATTAATTAATAATATATATATATATATATATATATATATATATATATATATATATATATATATATATATATATATATATATATATATATATATATAAATGTTTGAACAGAAGAAAGAAACTCATAAAGGTTTGAAACAAGTAAATGATGACAGAATGTTCATGTTTTGGGTAAACTCCCCCTTTAAATCAAATAATTAAACCAATATTGTGATTGTCCATATTTGACCCAAGCTTTTGGCTTAAATCAAGTGTATTTAGAGTACACAATGCATGATGGCATCAAGATGTTAAATTAAAGCCTGCAAACCACACGTGACGAACAAACCCAGGCAGATCTGACAAGCTCCAGATGTGTGAATGTCAGGGACAGTTATGACGAGCTCTTATCATGTCTCTGAAAACATGTTTTTGAATGGAAAATCTATTTTATTCACTGCTGAATGTATTTCAAGGCGAGTTTAGCGATTGCAAGCAAACATGTTCATGGTCATTCATTCACTTTCCTTCGGCTCAGTCTCTGATTATCAGAAAGCGTACCTCCAAAATGTGATTTCAGATCATCGCTAGCGTTGCGTTGTTTAAGGCACTGCGGTGTGTGTGTGTGTGTTTGCGTGTGTGATGAACACCTGCGTCTCCATTGACCCCGCAGACAAGCACACAGACAATAAAAAGCAGGACACTGAGCTGCGCCGCCTTCCTGAAGCCAAACTACAGGCAGAAACACGGCACAGCACTCGTGCCAAACTCCTGAAAGAGGAACCGGTCAGCCTGACCACAGAGAAAAGCTGAGCGGCGGATGAGAACAGAGCATTTAAAGACAGCTTTACACTATATTAACAAAATATGTGCAACTGTATATAGTGAATATGAGTGTTTTTGTTTATTTACATAGTTGAATTGCATTTCAGGACCTTGATCTTTGCTCATTGAACTATAAAATTTAAGGTCTGTGTCATTTGTAAGTGATGCTTATTCATTTCCAATTAAACAGAATATTTATAGGGGCTTTTCTTGAGCTCCTCCTTTGAACGGGGTCTGGCTGCAGACTTGGTGAGGGTGCAATCTGAGCTGCATCCAATGCTTTTGAATGCACTTACCTAACTCCTCCCTTAACAGTGACGTCACTAGAAATAAATATTATTTTTAAATAAAGAATGTAATTAAAATAAATAAATACAATTAATTAGTTAAATTAAATTTATTTAAACACAGGAAAATAAATGAATGATATAAATAAAATAATTTATTAAATGAAAAAATTGTTAAATCATTTATTTATTTATTCAAAAAAATATTTAGTTGTATATATGATGTAAGTAAAAGAAATGAATAAATAAATACAATTAATTAGTTAAATTAAATTTAGTTAAACAGAGGACATAAATGAATGACATAAATAAAATAATTTATTTTAAATAAAAAAATAGTTAAATTATTTATTTATTTATTCAAAAAATACATAAATAAATAAATATTTAGTTGAATAAATTATGTAAGTAAAATAAATAAATAAATAAAATTAATTAGTTACATGAAATTTATTTAAACACAGGAAAATAAATGAATGATATAAATAAAATAATTTATTAAATAAAAAAATAGTTAAATTATTTATTTATTTATTTATTCCAAAAATATTTAGTTGAATAAGTTAAGTAAATAAATAAATAAATACAATTAATTAGTTAAATTAAATTTAGTTAAACAAAGGAAAATAAATAATATAAATAAAATAATTTATTAATTTAAAAATAGGTCAATTATTTATTTATTTATTTATTAAAAAAATAAATAAATAAATATTTAGTTGAATAAATTATGTAAGTAAAATAAATTAATAAATAAATACAATTAATAAGTTTAATTAAGTTTAGTTAAACAAAGGAAAAAAATAAATAATATAAATAAAATAATTTATTCAATTAAAAAAATAGTTAAATTATTTATTTATTTATTAAAAAATTTTACAAAAATAAATATTTCGTTGAATAAATTATGTAATTAAAATAAATAAATAAATTAAATTAATTAGTTAAATTTATTTAAACAAACAAACAAACCACATATGTTTGGACTCTGGGGGATACCGGAAAACCCACACCAACACTAGGAGAACATGCAAACTCCACAGAGAAATGCCATCTGACCCAGCCAAGGCTTGAACCTGTGACCTTCTTGCTGTGAGGCGACAGTTCTAACCATTGAGCAACCATTCTGCACGTTCACAATTTTCTTGCTTATATAATCCAGCATCACGTAACATCTGCCATCGGTCCAGTTGTTGATCAACACGATAAAGCAAATCTCTGAGACGAGTGTGTGTGTGTGTCAGAGCAGGCTGAATTAGACAGATGGTGGTCTGCGTATTAAGCATGAATGATCTGGCATGAACACACTGGTCATTCTGTCCGTTCCACTTCCCTTCAGCCACATTTTGAGGCATTTATGACTAATATATCACACTGAAATTGTCAGCAATTCCAAATCAGCTCCGCATTAACAAGAAAGCATCGCCACTTAAACCCACTTCTCTCCCATTTAAATGCTTTTATGTTAAAACATCAGGCCTAAGTTCATAGTTTAACATGAGCACAGATAATATTAATGCTGATCTCTGATCAGATCCTGATTTTCATCTTGGGTTTAGGCTCATTAAGTCAATGACAGCTCTGTCTTTATTAATTTGTGGCATGTTGACGCTGCTTCAGCTGGATGTGACATGCTCGATTAACAATCTTTAGGCAATTTGTGTTGAGGCAACATGAAGGAATTGAGTGAAACCCAGCATTATTTACATTGTGTGTGTGTTTACTGTTTTAATACTTTGTTAACCTCTTTATAATCAGTTTAATCCTGTTTATTGTTATTTCTTATTATGTTTTGATTATTTTAATCCTGTTGTTTTATTTAAAGGATGCTGAATTACCATTGGATATGAAATGTGCTGTATAAATACAGTTTTCCTACAGTTCAGATGCAAAAACCTCAGAAATTTTCTTCTAAAATTAGCATTGTTATCAGGCTCCAGTGTATAGGCTCAGTAATTTCCCTGTTATGACAAGGAATACGTTGTTTTCATGGTCTTCAAAGTGAAATAACTCAACATAAACAAAGGAGGCTGAGAATAATGCCAATTTTTTATATAAATTTTGAATGGCAACTCTTCATATTTTAGTTTGACTTAAAATAGTATCATTATTTTCATGGACACACTGGCTTTTACTGCAAGTAGTTTGAGTTATTAACATTTGCTATTTTTAGTAAGTATAAAGCCATAGCACATTCATAGTAGAGAGTGTGTATTGCAAAATATGACCCTGGATCACAAAACCAGTAATAATTGTACAATATACATGCAATATAATGGTACAAATAGAAAAATATTGATACAACTATTGAAAAATCTGGAATCTGATGGTTGAAAAAATTATTAAAAATATTGAGAAAATCACCTTTAAACAAATAAAGCAATTAAAATTACTAATCAATATTAGATTCGAAATACTTAGGGAAGACAATGTACAAAAGTTTTAATGTATGATGATCTTTAATATTCTAATTTTGGCATATAATAAAAATCGATAATTTTGACTCATGCAATGCATTTTGGCTTTTTTTTTCCGTGCAATATAAAACTGGTTTTGTGCTCCAGGATGATAAATAAGGTGAATATAAATATGAAATAATAATAATCATATAATAATTATACATATAAATAAAACAATTAGTTAATTAATTAATTTATCTAAACAAATAATTAAATACATGAATAAATGTTTACTAAAATAAATAATGTAATTAAAAATAAATAAATAAAATTTAAATTAAATTGTTTATTTAAACAAACAAGTAAATTATATAAAACTAATAATTTATTAAATAGAATAAATTGGTTAAATTATTTATTAATTTAAACAAAGAAATAATGTAATTACAATAAATAAATAAAATGAATTAAATTATTCATTTTAAACAAGCACACAAACAAATAAATCATATAAGTCTAATAATTTTATAAATAAAATAAATTAGTTAAATTATTTATTTAATTATTCAAACTAAAATTTTTATCAAAATAAATTAATTAATTAAACTATTCTTTTAAACAAACAAACAAGTCATATTAATCTAATAATTTAGTAGATAAAATAAGTTAGTTAAAAATAATTTATTTATACAAATAAATAAATATTTAGTTAAATAAATAATGTAATTAAGATAAATAAATAAAGTTAAATTATTAATTTAAACAAACAACCAAATCATATAAATCTATTAATTTAGTAAATAAAATAAATTAGTTAAATAATTTATTTATTTATACAAATTTTTTGTATATTATATTGTATATTTTGTTAAATAATGTAATTAAAATAAATTAATTTGTAATTAAACAAATTAATCATATTTATCATATAATTCTTATAATTTAGTAAATAAAATAAATTATTTTTACTTATTAATAAATTAAATTATTATATTATTAAATCTAATAATTTAGTAAATAAAAATATATATGTAATTATTTATTAAAACAAATAAATACATAAATAAATAAATATTAATTAAATTTTGTAATTAAAATTAATAAATGAGAAAAATGTATTAGCTGAATTAAATTTAATTAAACAAATAAATGAATCATGTAAATCTAATAATTTAGTAAATAAAATAAACTAGTTAAATGATTTATTTATTCAGACAAATAAATAAATAAATAAATACATTCATCATACAGACCTAATAATCTAGTTAAATAATTAAATTAAAGTCAATTAAATCAATCAATCAGATAAGCTGTCTTTAAATGCGCTCATTTCCGGAGTAAGAATGCAGAAGGAAGGTCTCACACACACTACTGTACTGTTCTGTACATACTGCGCTAGTGAGGGGGGATCAGGAGTTCAGGCTGTGTTCTTGTGCACTACGGGGTCTAAAAGGCACAGGCGCAGACCACCGCGACCACCACGATGTTCCCGATGGTGGCGATGACGGCGACCCACAGCCAGATGGCGTCACTGGAGAACTTGCCCTCCTCCTCCTGCTCCGCCGGCCGAGAGATGCTGGTGTTCAGGTTAGAGGTGGAGGTCTGGAGGGACGCGCTGCCGTTGTATGGAGAGTCCATGAAGGCTCCACTGACGGCTGGGAAATGCTGGAAAACAATGGAGAGAAACTGATTCATGCGCTAAAAATGTAATAATTAAACAATCTGTTGTTGTCTTAAAGGGATAGTTCATCTAAAAATGAATAGTCTGCCATCATTTACTACCTTTTTTCCTTTTTTACCTGTCTGAGTTTCGCAAAGGAAGAGGTTTTGAAAAATACTTTGACTTCCATAGTGTGTTTTTCTCCTACGGGAGTTATTTTGTGTTGATTTTGTTAGCTCATGTTGCTTGTTTTGATTCCATGTGTACTTTAAGACCGATTCATGCACTAAAAAAGTAAAGATTAAAGTCATTTGTTGTGCTCTTAAGGGGATAATTCACTCATAAATGAAAATTCTGCCATTGTTTACACCTTTTTTCATTTAATACTCTACTGGATCTTGCATAACTGCTATAATATGCTCCATTTAAAGGGACAGTTCACCTAAAAAACACTGACTTCAATAGTATTGGTTCTTTCTACAATGTCAGTCAATTTTTACAGTTTTTAGCATTCTTCAAATTATCTTCTTTTGTATGAACTTGAAGGTTTTTAACAACCTGAGGGTAAATAGTGCATACTTAAGCTAGAAAATGCTGGAAAACAATGGAGAGAAACCGATTATTGCACCTAAAATGTCAGAATTAATGCAATTTGTGGTGGTCTTAAAGGGATAGTTCACTCAAAAATGAAAATTCTGCCATTGTTTACACCTTATTTCAAGTAATACTCTACTGGATCTTGTAAAAATTGTATGTTTTATACAGCAAATGCCCTTCCAGCTGCAACCCAGTAGTGGGAAACACCCATACACACTCATTCTCTCACACACACACTCACTCATACACTACGGCGAATTTAGTTAATCCATTCCGCTATAGCGCATCTGTTTGGACTGTGGGGGAAACCAAAGCACCCGGAGGAAACCCACGCCAACACAGGGAGAACATGCAAACTCCACACACAAATGCCAACTGGTCTAGACAGGACTCGAACCAGCGACTTACTTGCTGTGAGGTCACAGTTCTG